CCTGGGGCAATCCCCAAACCCCCCACCCCTCGCGGCCCTGCGGCGAGCCGCGGCCCACCGCCGCCGCACCCACATGCGCCTCATTCATGCAGAAAGTGGAGGGCGCGATCTGGAGCGGCCTGCCGCACAGCCAAAACACAACGGTCGAGTCGATGATGAAGGGCTGCTCCTTTGGTATGGGCAGCGTCAGCCTGGCGGACGGCGGCCACCTGCTGCGCGTGGTGGTGCCGATCCCCTGCAAAGGGACGACGCCGGAGGGCACCAAGTACAACTCAAAGGAATGCCCCTTCCCAGGTGCTTGTGTGTGTTTAGTGGGGGTGTGGAGGGGGGCGCAAGCATGCGCCGGTGTGCAGGGAACGGGGGCACGCGGCTTGGGGAGGGGGCGGCGGCAGCGAGCATCAGGGTGCCCGGGGGCGGGGCTGTGCAGAGGGCGCAAGGCGGGTGGCGGCAACCCGGAGCACAGGTTAGGGAACTGCTGGCACAGGCCGGCAGGGGAAGGGCATCAGGCGCCGGTACAGCGGACGAGGCGTGCCGCGGCCATCGGGAGTAGGGGGGGTGCGTGACGGCGCGTGCGCCCCCTCGCTTTCAGGAGCTTCACAGCTGAAGGGGTCTACATCGCGGCCTGTGCATTGAGCGCGCCTCTCCCCTGACTGCACACTGACTAAAGGGGACCCCAACTCCCCAATCAGACGCGCACACATGCTTGCACATATTCACGCATACGTGAGCGTGAACATACAAACACACACGCCGCGCCGCACGCACCCACGCACCCCAGAGTGGTCTGACGTGGCGAACGAGTGGATCAAAGTAAACCGCCAGGATGTGAAGCTGTCAGACTGGCGCCACAAGATCTACATTGTGGTCAAGGGGGAGACCTGCGGCTGGGGCGGCATGGGCTACGTCGGCTGTGAGGATGACTGCCGCGTTTGGATCAACGGGGAGCTCTGGAATGTGAGCAGGCGGGGCATGGCGGCCGGGGCGGGGGGGTGGCGTCGGTGGACAAGGGGAGGGGCAGGCCGAGAGGATGGGGCTTGGGCTGCGCGGCGATGTTAGGACAGGGGCCATGCACAAATCATGGCCCAGGGTCCACAACCCACGAAATAAGCATGCGCGCGTGCGCGCACGTGCGCGCGCGCGCAGACGCACACACACATGCACGCATGCTTGCGTGCACGCATACACACATTTTTGCACGTTACGCTCTCAGGTCAATGTCCAATGTCCGCATCAACGCAGCCCCGCCAACACGAAAGCAAGTCTTTGACTCAGTCATTTGGGAGCTGCCCCTCCACACACACATACACACGCCATGCACAAGCAACCAAACCACCCCCCACACCGTCAACCCCCACCCCCATTCCCAGGAGCCTGACACTTACTTCCACGAACTGGGCCACAACCTGTTCCTGAATCACGCGGGCAAGTGGGGCAACGACGGCTACGACGACATGAGCGGCGCCATGGGCTACTGCTGCGACATCCGCTGCCACAACGCCCCCCACGCACACCAGGTGAGACTGGGGCCCCTGGAGGGTGCTGCCGCTTTGCGCCCCCGCCGCACCCAGCAGGCGCCGCTTGGGCCAGCGCAGTCTACATTGGCGGTGGTGTGGCTGGCTGCTCTGCGCTGAGATGGGTTCCTGCAAGCAACGCACCAGTGACAGAAATGAGGACACACACCCACGGCTTTAATCTGAGCAGCCGCTGACCTGCTGAAGGGAGGAGCCCTGGGGCCCAGGAGAGTGTCTTGGCAGAGAGGGCGGCTCAGGGATGAGTAACTTGAGGCCCTTGACCCCACCTCCAAAGCGTCAGCTCCGCGATGACACCGCACCCCGGCCCCCAGGTCGGCTGGGCGGCGCCCATTGCGACGCTGACCTCTGACACCCTGCCGGCCGGGACCTGGAAGTCCTTCGAGCTGCCGGCGGCGGCGCTGGACCCGAAGAATTTCGTGCGGATCTGGCCCGACTGGGACAAGAAGGGCGCCAAGAGCAAGATCTACCTCCAATACAAGTGGGCGCCGCCAGGCTGTTGCTGGCCGCCTCTTCAGCTCGGCCAACGAGCCCCAACTCCCTCGCCCGTGATCTCGGCGGGGGCGTGCGGGACGGCGCTGTTCGTACCGCGCACCCCTCCCCCCAGCTTGCTGCACCATGCCTGCTGCCCCACTCCTAAGACAAATCCATGCCAACACACACATATCTTTTCCCCTCCGCATCCCCATCACACCGCCGCCCCACATCCGGCCGCCACACGCGATGCGAGCCCCTCTACCCCCCACACCGATCC